CGGCCCTGCTGGCTGAAGCGCCACAGCGGAGTTTGCTGATGTGCCGGAGCACTGCGGGGCGCGACACCACCACTGCCACGACTCTCCTGCCTGCGCTTCCCTGCTGAGCTGCTGCTGCTTCTGCAAGAGCGAGCGATGGGAGCCCAGCCAAGGTGTCAGCACCGTGGAAGATGCCAGTGCAGGGAGCTGAGACCAAGGGTTTCGATAGTCCAAGTAATTTCTCTTGGCATCGAAACTCCTAACTCCTTACTGTGACTGCTCATCTGATTGTGACTGCTGCCCAGAGAAGCCGTGAACGGCCCATCCCTGAAAGCGTTCAAGACCAGCTTGAAGGGAGCCCTGGGCAACCTGGACTGGACCTCACCTGGACGATGGTGACCCTGCCTGTGGCCGGGGGGTTGGAACTTGAGCCTTACGATCCCTTCCAACCCAAGCCATCCTGTGACTCTATATGTCAAACACCTATTCCTTTCAATTGTCTTCTCCATCAAAATAAACATCTTATTTAAAACTTCACTGACTTGGATGGAGTGGAGCCACTTCACATACTTACAGCTCCTTATTCTCAGCCCCAGCGCAACAACGAAGGCAACGGCAGTGCTGCACATCCTTACCGAAAGGACAAGCGCCACAGAAGTTGCCTCTGAACTTCAGCACCTTCAACAGACAAGTTTCCCCCTGGACCAAACGCAGCCCCAACGCTCTGCTGCGCGCGCGGTGCTGCCATCGCTGGTAGCAGCATCCCTGCTTCGCGGCACAGCTGGCAGAGCAGCTGGCTGAGGACAGGCTATCCAACTTGCAAGGACCCACAGGCATCACCCAGCCCGGCTCCCGGCTCCGCACAGCAGCACCCAGCCTTAGGCCACGTGGCACAGAGTCCCACGGGGCTCCCGCAGCTCCCAGCTGTGCCACCGCCCTGGGGAGCTGCTCCGCGCCCGGCGCCCGCCGCTGCTCAGCCGTGCCTCCACAGCCGAGCCGAGCCGAGCCGAGCCGAGCCGAGCCGAGCCGAGCCTCCCCTGGCGCAGCTCCGTGCTGTTCCTCCGCCCCGCCCCGCCCCGTCCCGTCCCCACACAGCGCACACCAGCGCTGCCCCTCCGCTCCCACGAAGCACCGAGGGCTGCCGGGACGGAACCGCAGCCGCCGGCACAACCACAGCTGCCATGAAGGAAGGAGCTGCGCTCCTCCTCTCCACTATAGCACGCCGGGCATCCCAGGGCGCTGCGGAACCCGCGGCCCCGTGCACAGGACCCTCACGGCGGGCCGACGACGACCGCCACTTCATCTCGCTAGGCGCGCCAACGGCAACGCGAAGCTCTTCTGCAGAGCCATGGCGAGCAACACGGCGACCGGCGCAGCCGCGAGCCCGCCGGGCAACGGCGCCGGGCCCCGCTAACGAAGCGCTTCCTTCAGCGCCTCGGAGAGAGCGCGGCCACCACCGCGCGCACCTCCGCGTCCGCACCGCGACGACAACCGCGCGCCGCTGACGGAGCGGCCCGGGGCGCGGCGGCGCAGACGCGCTGTGGAAGGCAGGGCGGAGACGGCGGCCCAATCCCCGCGGCTGCCCAATCAGCGCCCGGCGCGCGCGGAGAGGGGGCGGGGCCGGGCGGGACGCGGGGCCGGGGACGCCGCCATTTCGCGCGGGCCGCGCCGCTCTTCTCGTCCGGCCGCACAGAGCGCCGCGCCGCCCCTTCCCCGCTGCGCAGCCCTGCGCTCGCTCGGCCTTCTCCGAATGCTTCGTTAGCACGGCCGGCCCCATCGCCCCGCGTCTTCCCTGCTTTTCTTTGGTTGGTGGCCCTGCCTGCAGCAGGGGGGTGGGAGCGTAATGGCTGTCGAGGTCCCTTCCAACCCAGGCCGTTCTAGGATCCTATGACGCAGCCAAACAAGCCTCGTCCCAGCAGGCCACAGCTCGAGAGGAGGGGAGGGGGCAGCAGCATTTCTCAAGTTCAACCGCATATTTCTCTCTGTGCGATGCACTCTTCATGGTCTTTGTCCCATGAAACCCCCTGCCCTGCAATGCTGCTGGGAGACGGAAATGGAAGGAGAGCTGGGGGCAGGCCTGGTACAGAGCAGAGCCCTGCAGCCACCCAGCTGCAGTCCTGCTACCCCGGGTACCGATGGCACTTGGCTCCAGGGGCACTTTGCTCCAGATGAGCATGCCGTGCACGGAGCTGAGGCCGCGATGCCCCAGGGGGCTGCAGCTCCCTGCCTGCACCCTGCAGACACGAAGCAGCGTGTTGGGGAGGAAGAAGGGGAGCAGAGGACTCGCAAAGGCGATGTGCCTCTGCCGTGTGCTGGCGTTACCCTGCAGCACAGCAGCGGGTAGCGATGCTACCATCCAGGGGCAGTGGCAGGGCGTGGGCTGTGCCAGAGGGCAGACCAGGGCCCCGAGAGGCGTGCTGGCAGGACAGGCTCTGCATTCACGAGCACCGCCTGCTGGCTGCCCAGGCCTTGGCTCCCGGCCCCAGCGCTGTGCCACCGATGCTCCTGGTGCAGCCACTATCCTCCTGGGTGCCGCCTCAGCCGAGCTGCCCTGCAGCGTTTCTGCTGCACACTCTGCCAACACGCGTGAACGTATGTGGGGGGGAGAGGTTACGGAATCACAGAATCGCAAGGTTGGAAACGACCTGCAAGTTCATCTGGTCCAACCCCCCTCCCATTCCTATCAGTACCACAAGCACTAAACCATCTCTCGTAGCTCCTCGTCCAGGCGCCCCTTGAACACTGCCAGGGATGGCGACTCCACCACCTCCCTGGGCAGCCATTCCAGTGCCTGACCACCCTCTGAGAGAAGAAGTTTCTCCTCATGTCCAACCCAAACCTCCTCTGGTACAACTTCTGGCCGTTTCCTCGGCTCCTACTATTTGCCTGGGAGAAGAGGCCAGAACCTTTTGCACCACAACCTCCCTTCAGGAAGTTGCACAGTGCAGTGAGGTCTCCCCTGAGCCTCCTCTTCTCCACACTGAACAATCCCAGCTCCCTCAGCCGCTCCTCATAAGGTTTGTGCTCCAGACCCCTCACCAGTTTCGTTGCCCTTCTCTGCACACATCCCGGGGCCTCCATGTCTTTCTTGTAGTCAGGGGCCCAAAACAGCACAGCACTCGAGGTGCGGCCTCACCAGTGCAGAGTACAGGGGGATGCTCACCTCCCTGCTCCTGCTGGCCACACCATTTCCAATGCAGGCCAGGATGCCGTCGGCCCTCTTGGCCACCTGGGCACACTGTTGGCTCATGGTCAGCCCAGGTCCCTTTCCTCCTCGCACTCACCCAGCCACTCATCCCCAAGCCTGTAGCGCTGCATGGGGTTGTTGTGGCCAAAGTGCAGGACCCGACACTCGGCCTTGTTAAACCTCACCCCAGTCACCTCGGCCCGGCCATCCAGCTTATCCAGATCCCTCTGCAGGGCCTCCCTGCCCTCAGGCAGATCGACAGCACCTCCCAGCTTGGTGTCATCTGCAAACTTACTCAGGGTGCACTCAGTCCCTTCATCTAAGTCGTCAATGAAGACATTAAACAGGATGGGCCCCAGCACCGACCCCTGGGGGACACCACGTGAAACAGGTCTCCAGCTAGACTTCACTGCATTGACCACCACCCGTTGAGCACGGCCCTCCAGCCAGTTCCTTACCCAACGGAGGGTAAAACTGTCCAAGCCACGGCAGCCAGTTTCCGCAGAAGGACCCTGTGAGAGACCGTGTCAAAGGCTTTGCTGAAGTCTAAGTAGATACATCAACAGCCTTTCCCCCATCTACCAGTCTGCTCACCCAGTCGTAGAAGGAGATGAGCTTGGTCGAACACGACCTGCCTTTCATGAACCCATGCTGGCGAGCCGTGTGATCTCTCCCAGGAGGATTTGTTCCATGACCTTCCCTGGCGCTGAGGTCAGGCTGACAGGCCTGTGGTTCCCCGGATCCTCCTTACGGCCCTTCTTGTAGATGGGCGTCACATCAGCAAGCCTCCAATCCTCTGGGACCTCTCCAGTCAAGCAGGAGCGCTGGCAGGTAGCCGAGAGCGGCTCAGCAATCACCCCCGCCAGCTCCCTCAGCACCCTAGGATGAAGCCCATCCGCTCCCATGGACTTGTGACTGTCCAGATGGAGGAGGAGCTCCCTAACGGCCTCCACCTCCATCTCCGGGGAGACATGCTGCCTATCAGCCCAGATATCCAGATCAGGGCACAAAGCGCCCCGAAGATAGCTGGTCTGACTATTAAAGGCAGATGTGAAGAAGGCGTTGAGGACCTCAGCCTTCTCCTTGTCATCTGTGGTCACGTTCCCCGCCGCGTCAATTAAAGGACAGACATCATCCTTGGTTTTTCTCTTGCCATTGGTGTATTTGTAAAAGGATTTCTTATTCTCCTTTACTGCAGTGGCCAATCCAAGTTCAAGACGGGCTTTCGCCTTCCGGACTTCCTCCCTGCGGCACCCCATTGCCGCAACGGCGCTCTTCTCCCTGCAGCCTGGTCACCAAGAACAAGAGGGAGCTACGAGCAGCTCCCTCTGCAGCCGGAGCACTTCTGGGTGCAGGCACTGCTGGAGCTATCCAGGACAGAACAGCTGCTCTCCCACTGCTGCGAAGGAAGTGAGAATACGGAGATGGTGCACAACACGTCAAAACGCTTGCTGAGGAGTCAGGAGCTCCGGTGCCTAAATAGATCTCTTGCCCTAGCAGACTGGGGATTCTGTGGTTTATTTGCGACGCCATCTTCAGTCCGCACCCACACAAGACCTGCGAGTTGATGTGTCTCCCAACTCCCCACTGGAGCTGACGGCCCCCCAGCACAGCCCCCCCAGTGGGCATCCCAAAGCCACCCCTCAGGGCCCCCAGCACCCCAAGCCCTGCTCATTGTGACATCGGCACCGCGTCACCAACACCCACGTTCTAACGGTGACATCACAATGTGCAGGGCAGCTTCACGCTGCGCTCCCCCCTGTCCCCCCAGTCCCGGGTACCTCTGGATCGAGGAAGCAGCACCACTGCTTTGCTCCAGAAGTAAAGCCCAGGAATGGAGCTGAGGTCTCGACGCCTCAGTGCGCCACGTCCCAATCCCCCCACCCGCCGCCCTGCGCCACGGCCCAGGCCCGGACGGGAGCCGTCACCCCCAGAAATGAGGCCAAGTGTCTCGGAGGAGGAAGGTGAGTGCAGAGCATTCCTGCTGCAGTGGATGTGCCTCCGCCACGTGCAGGAGCCACCCTGCTCACGGGCTTGGGGTGATAATGCCCTTGTCCCCACCGCAGGGTGCAGGCTGTGCCGGCGGGCAGAGCACGACCCCGACATCTATGGAGACACGTGCCGTCAGGACCGGCTCTGCATCCATGAGAACTGCCTGGTGAGCCCCAGCCCCAGGCCCCCAGCCCCCAGCCCCGCGCCCGCCGCTGCCCCCCACGCGCACTAACAGGTCCCCGGTTGCCTCCTGCAGTACCACGCCAGCGGGCTGTACCAGCGCGGCGCTGACGATGAGGGATTCTTTGGATTCCTCATCCCGGACATCGAGGAGGTGCTGCAGCGCGTGGCACAGAAGGTGAATAGGGCGACGCGTCCCCACCTCGGTCCCCGTGCCACGTGGCTGGGAGACTCCAGCAGAGCCCTGGTTGTCCAAGGAGACCCACGGCTGCACAAATCGCAACTGATGAGTGCTGCGGGGTCCCTAGCCACGTGGCCCACCACATCATCACCGTGCTCTGCTGGGCAAGGGTCACCTGTGTGTGCACGGCACTGACGCCCAGCACCGCACTGCTGTCCCCAGAGATGCTGCGTCTGCCAGAACCAGGGCGCCTCGGTCCGCTGCCATCACGGCAGATGCTCCCGCACCTTCCACTACCCCTGCGGAAGAGAACGCGGCTGCATCTCCCAGTTCTTTGGAGAGTACAGGTGAGCGCGGGCACCCGCGGGGCTGCAGGATGGATGGGGCAGGAGCTGAGCTGCCACCTCCATCCATCCTGCAGGTCCTTCTGCTGGCAGCACCGGCCGACCCAGCACGTGAGGCCACTGCAACAGGACAACCCGCAGTGTGCCATCTGCTTGGAGGCGGTGGAGGGACGCCCCACCTACACCACCCTGGTCTGTCCCTCCTGCACCGGCGCTCAGTTCCACCGCCACTGCATCCAGGTAGGCGGCATTGCCTCCAGACCACAGCATCATCCCCAGCACCACCCAACCCTGCCACCCTGGCATCGTCCCCAGCCCTGGGGCCCCCAGCTCATCTTCTGCCTTCCCCAGGCCCAAGCTCTGCGCGCTGCCCTGCACCACTTCCGCTGCCCGCTCTGCCAGGACATGCAGACCTTCCAGGCAGAGATGTTCCGCCTCGGCATCAAAATCCCAGACAGGTCAGCACCCACCGCCCTGCCACCGCCCGCCCCCCCCCTCCACCTCCCCTCGCACTGCACTCAGCTGTCCCCGGCTCCCTCCCACAGGGATGCGGCCTGGGAGGTGGAAGAGGGAGCTTTCCATGACCTGTACCAGCGGCACAGCTCCTGTGACACCGGTCTCTGCCTGTGCCCACTGGGAAGGGACCACTCTGAGAACACCGGGTGAGTGAGCTCTGACCCCAGTGTCATGGCGACCTGGCGCCTTCATCCCCTCCTTGCAGCTGGGATGGAGGCTGGCCAGGATGCTGAGCTCAGCACGGCACAAGCTGTGCCCTGGTAGCTCAGTGCCAGCCACCGCCGTGGGAGCGCACGCACGCACCGCCCCACGGCTGGCATCCCACAGCCCTGGGACCCCCGGTGACCGTGCGGCTCTGGCTTCTGTCACTCCCACAGGCCCTGGAGGATGCTGCTCTGCAGCTCCTGCGGTTCCTGCGGCACCCACCAGCACTGCTCTGCCATCGCAGAGGACGTGGAATCGTGGGAGTGCAGCGGCTGCAGCGGTGTGGGCACCGGTAAGAAATGCAGCACGGGGACGTGGTCCCCACAGACACGTGGCCGTACGTCCTCGGGAGAGGACGTTGGAGCCACGATGGGCACAGACATGTGCACTGCGCTCATCTCCCGCACCTTGCAGCCCCTTCAGTGTCAGCCGCGGCGCAGTGATCCCCGCACAGCACCCAGCTCCTGGCACTTCGGCTCCAGCACAAGAGGCTGCGACACCGCGACGCTCAGCTGCCTGCGCGGCTCACAGCAGCCCCGCAGCCACTGCGCCTTGCCAGCCTCTGAACAACGGCCCTGCTGGCTGAAGCGCCACAGCGGAGTTTGCTGATGTGCCGGAGCACTGCGGGGCGCGACACCACCACTGCCACGACTCTCCTGCCTGCGCTTCCCTGCTGAGCTGCTGCTGCTTCTGCAAGAGCGAGCGATGGGAGCCCAGCCAAGGTGTCAGCACCGTGGAAGATGCCAGTGCAGGGAGCTGAGACCAAGGGTTTCGATAGTCCAAGTAATTTCTCTTGGCATCGAAACTCCTAACTCCTTACTGTGACTGCTCATCTGATTGTGACTGCTGCCCAGAGAAGCCGTGAACGGCCCATCCCTGAAAGCGTTCAAGACCAGCTTGAAGGGAGCCCTGGGCAACCTGGACTGGACCTCACCTGGACGATGGTGACCCTGCCTGTGGCCGGGGGGTTGGAACTTGAGCCTTACGATCCCTTCCAACCCAAGCCATCCTGTGACTCTATATGTCAAACACCTATTCCTTTCAATTGTCTTCTCCATCAAAATAAACATCTTATTTAAAACTTCACTGACTTGGATGGAGTGGAGCCACTTCACATACTTACAGCTCCTTATTCTCAGCCCCAGCGCAACAACGAAGGCAACGGCAGTGCTGCACATCCTTACCGAAAGGACAAGCGCCACAGAAGTTGCCTCTGAACTTCAGCACCTTCAACAGACAAGTTTCCCCCTGGACCAAACGCAGCCCCAACGCTCTGCTGCGCGCGCGGTGCTGCCATCGCTGGTAGCAGCATCCCTGCTTCGCGGCACAGCTGGCAGAGCAGCTGGCTGAGGACAGGCTATCCAACTTGCAGGGACCCACAGGCATCACCCAGCCCGGCTCCCGGCTCCGCACAGCAGCACCCAGCCTTAGGCCACGTGGCACAGAGTCCCACGGGGCTCCCGCAGCTCCCAGCTGTGCCACCGCCCTGGGGAGCTGCTCCGCGCCCAGCGCCCGCCGCTGCTCAGCCGTGCCTCCACAGCCGAGCCGAGCCGAGCCGAGCCGAGCCGAGCCGAGCCGAGCCGAGCCGAGCCGAGCCTCCCCTGGCGCAGCTCCGTGCTGTTCCTCCGCCCCGTCCCGCCCCGTCTCGTCCCCACACAGCGCACACCAGCGCTGCCCCTCCGCTCCCACGAAGCACCGAGGGCTGCCGGGACGGAACCGCAGCCGCCGGGACAACCACAGCTGCCATGAAGGAAGGAGCTGCGCTCCTCCTCTCCACTATAGCACGCCGGGCATCCCAGGGCGCTGCGGAACCCGCGGCCCCGTGCACAGGACCCTCACGGCGGGCCGACGACGACCGCCACTTCATCTCGCTAGGCGCGCCAACGACAACGCGAAGCTCTTCTGCGGAGCCATGGCGAGCAACACGGCGACCGGCGCAGCCGCGAGCCCGCCGGGCAACGGCGCCGGGCCCCGCTAACGAAGCGCTTCCTTCAGCGCCTCGGAGAGAGCGCGGCCACCACCGCGCGCACCTCCGCGTCCGCACCGCGACGACAACCGCGCGCCGCTGACGGAGCGGCCCGGGGCGCGGCGGCGCAGACGCGCTGTGGAAGGCAGGGCGGAGACGGCGGCCCAATCCCCGCGGCTGCCCAATCAGCGCCCGGCGCGCGCGGAGAGGGGGCGGGGCCGGGCGGGACGCGGGGCCGGGGACGCCGCCATTTCGCGCGGGCCGCGCCGCTCTTCTCGTCCGGCCGCACAGAGCGCCGCGCCGCCGCTTCCCCGCTGCGCAGCCCTGCGCTCGCTCGGCCTTCTCCGAATGCTTCGTTAGCACGGCCGGCCCCATCGCCCCGCGTCTTCCCTGCTTTTCTGTGTGCTGTCGATACATCCGATACATCTCCCATCGGCTGTGCCTGCACCTCCCATGGGCGCGGGTTTCCCTCCCCAGGAGCACCTGCACACAGCCTGCCCTGCTTGCGCACTCAGCCAAGTGCCAGCCGTCCTTCCTCCAGCTTGCAGCTCCCCGTGGGCTGCTCACTATTCAGGGTCCTGCCTTGCTGGACCACCTGCACAGTCCCACCTTTGCTGTCTGCAGGCCGTCCTTGGGCTTCTCCTTCCCACCTGGCGCAGGTGGGACCTGCAGCACATCAGTCAGGAAGCGGATTATGGGACAAACAAAGGGCGTTTGTCCAGGGCCGGGTTCGTCCCCTGGCAGCCACCTCACCGCAGCCCTGTGCCAGCACACAGCCTCCTGAGGGCTGCAGTATCCCCTCCTTTGGCTCTCAGAAAATGTCTTCGTCTTAAGTAGGAGAGCATCCCAGAGCTTACGACTGACGGCCGTGTGTTTTGCTTTGCTTTGCTTTGTGTGGTTCAGAGGCTGTGCAGTGCTTGCTTCCAGCCATGGCAGGGAGCCAGGGCGGCTGGGAGTTTTGCAAAGTTTGGGCAAAAAAAGACTTAAAAGACACCTTTGAAACTGATGTTTGTGAGCAGACTCATTAGAACTCTGCTGCTCCTGCAAAATACAAAGTCAGTGCCTAATTGCTAATTACCAAACCCACAGAAGGCAGTGCCTGCAGATGGGTGATGGTGCTGTCAGTGACAGCTGTTTTGAAGCCAGCTTTGTGCCAAGGAAAACCCCAAATCCCAGCACTTGTGGGCAGGGGCACCTCTGCAGGAGGGGCAGGATAGGAACCTCACTGCCCCTGGGATCAGCTTATCAGAGCCAACAGCACACCCCAGTGCCCACGCTGCTGAAGCTTTGCAAGAGCAGGAAACCACCACATTTTATATGTTCCTCCTACCCAATTGCTTTCAAATTTTCTTTCACTTTTATTGCCAGGCTTGTGGTTAAACACACTTCATTGCAAGCCCAGAGAGTGCAGCACATAGAGTGAAGCAGAAGGGTTTCCTATGAAGGGGAGGTGGGTGAACACCAATAATCCACATCTCGTGCTTTTGGACACCCTGGAGAGCACCTCCTTGATGCCGTGCTCAGAAAAGCAGAGCGCAGGTACCGCTGATGCCCTGTGCACTGCGTGCAGCATGGATGTGCTGGGGATACCCAGCAGCACGCGGAGAGCACTGTGGGTTTAGGGTCTTGTCCTGCCCGTGTCAGTGGGACAGATCCTGGCAGTGCGGGAGGAGGAAAGCAAAGCCGGAATGCCCTCAGCCAGCCCTGGGGAGTCACAGTGCTCCCAGTGCCAGCTGCCCTGAAACCCGAGCCAGTCCCACCGCCATGCCCCGCTGAGCGGCCCCTTGCTCTCCTTGCTCTCCTCTTCCTCTCCTTCTCCTCCTCCCTCTCAGCCATCCCTGTGCCCAGGCACCCCGCGATGGGGCCGGGCAGCCGTCCTGCCCCGCAGCCCTGAGCCTGCAGGGTGACACAGGATGAAGCCAGAAGCTGCTCGGCAGATGAATGGAAGCCTCTTCTCCTCCTTGTTAGCTTTTTTTTTCCTCCTTTATCCCCACTGTAATATTTATTGCATCAACTAATTTTCATTTTTTTTTAACTAACCAGCCAGCAGTTTTCTTGACTACAAAGGAGAATATTTATTTCTGGGTTTAAATACATCATCTTTATACTGGAAAGAAAACAGCAGACAGGTACGTGGATTGATGGAAAACACTGCTTTTGCAACAGGGTCAGTCCAGGCTGCACCAAATCTCTCTCATGTCCAGATTGAAGGAAGGAGCTTTCACAGCTTATTTGCTGAGATCTGCCTTCTCTGGGGTGAAAACAGAGCTGAGACTTTCTGTGGGAGGAAAAGTAGGGGTTCACCTTTATAGGTATAGCAGGGACTATGCTCAGCATCTCAGTGATTAATGCTTTATGGAGTGCTGGGATGGGAACGGGAGGCAGGATGGGTGCAGAGTGCGTGTGGGATGGATAGGGGGTGGATGTGGGATAAATGTGGGGTGGATGCAGGATGGATGAAGGACAAATGTGAGATGGATGCAGGGTAGATGCAGGATGTGTGTGGAATGGATATGGGATGGGTGTGGAATACATGTGGGATGGATGCAGAAAGGATATGGGATGGATGTGAGATGGTTATGGGATGGATGCAGGGTGAATGCAGAGCAGAGATGAGATGGATGCAGGATGGATGCAGGACTGATGTGGGATGGATGCAAGGCGGATGCAGAGTGGGTATGGGATGGATACAGGGTGGATGTGGGATGGATGTGGGATGCATACGGGATGGATGTAGCATGGATGCAGGAGGGATGCTCCCCCACACCAGGGCTGGTGCAGGCAGCATGCTAAGGGGCTGCAGGCCCACGGCAGTGTGCTGGCCGTCTGTCAGCCACTCTCTGCCAGAGATTGGGGAGGGCTGGCAGGACAAAAGGCGACATTATTCGGAGAGGAATAAGCATGAATGGAGTATTGAGAAATGCAATGTTAGGGACTAGATTGATTTCCGAGCCCCGTAACTGAGCTGATTGTCTGCTGGAGGATCTCCTCTGAGCGCCGGGCCGGCAGCAGCCCCATGGCAAGAACAGGGATGTGCAGGGGCTGCATCCTGCATGGCGGCTCCATGGGAAGGGGCTGAGTCCTGCAGCCCAAGGGTGGGCTGAGCTCTCCCATGCCATGCCCAGATGATGGAAGCAATGCTGTCACCACCCTGTGCTGTCAGTAAGAATCCAGCAGAGCCAGATGTTCACCATTCCAGCAGCAGCTGGTGAAGAGAGCAGCAAATCATGGGGAAATTGCATCTTATTATCTTTAATCTTTTCCTCGTTTTCTCCATGCTTGCTTTCCATCTCGTCCCCATGGAGTTTGCATCTCCTGCCACTGACGAATGATGTGATGCTGTGGTACCAGACCTGTGTTCCCACACGAATGCCTCTTTTTTCCCAAGGACTGGGAGCACTGCAGGTCTTGGGGTCCCATAGGTGTTCCAGCAGGGGTGGGAGGTACCATGGTCATGTTAGTGCAGGAGTGGGGTGGGAGCTGGGACTCATCCTTTGTAGAGAAGTTCTGTGATGGAGAGGGCTGGCCATGGGTGACAGCACAGTGACAGCCTGGCAACAGCATCACAGGAGGAGCCATGGGGCTGGCAGCTCAGCTAGGGTGATGGGAGCCTCCCAGAATGTGGGCTGTGACTTTCTGCACAATGGGAATCACCATCACATCCCAAAAGGCAGCCGCATGGTGTGGCTTGCTGGAGATCTAGGTTTGCTTGGTGATGTGGGAAGTGCCTGTGTGGGTGGGGAGCCCATTCCCAGCTCTTCCTGAGGGATGAACTCCACCTGGATGAGGACAGCATGCTTCTCACAGCTTTGGAGGCATCTCCAGAAGGGTGGGTGGTGGCACCATGATGCAACCTTTGGGCTTTCATGCTGGGCAAGATCTCTCCTGCTGCCCTGTGCCTCAGCAGAAGCCCAGTCCTAAAGGTCCAAAGCGACCCCCATCTCACTACGCAAAAAACACCTCTTGTTCTCAGCTGATCCCAACTGGAGCCGTATTTTGACGTGATCGCTGCCCAAAGGCTGATGCTGGTGTCTGCGTGTTGCAGGGACAGCAAGAGGACCCCAGAGCAGCGATGAGCGCTGGTCCCTGTATGTCATGTGGGGCACTGCCTTCCTCCCTGCTCCTCCTCCTCCTCCTCGGCCCCACTGGTGAGCTCTGCTGTTTCTCTTCATGAATAGACACGGCTAAGTCCTATCAGAGGGCCATTTGTCCTATTTTGGTGGTTTTATTCAGAGATGTGACTTGAAAGGGGCTGTGTTTACCTCAAGGCGGTTCCCTTTGTTCTCTGGGCTTTGTGAGCTGGATCAGAGGGAGCCAGGAGCTCTGTTCTCCAGGATGGCTTTCCTCATTAGTGTGGACACACTGTGCATATTTTTCAGGTCTCTCTTGACTTTGCTGGAGGATGCTCTGAAATAAATACTTCAGAGCTTTGATTCTGACTAACGGGTGATGGATATTGAATATTTAACAATGTCCTTCTTATCTGCTGCTTGTTAAAATGGTTTAAAAGTGCTAAAAATCCATACAAGCCAGAATAAATCACTGTTCCAGAAAGGCTAGCAGCCTTTGGTCTTCCCTGTTGGATTCTGAGATGGCTGCAGGGACACAGCAGCTTCATTGCCCCATCTCACACCCCAGCTCCCACCCCCACTGCTGCCAAGCATCCTAAGGCTCCCCCCCCCCCCCCCATGTTTTTGGGGCTGCATCGTATGTTTTTATCTGGCTAAGAGTGCTGCAGAAGCGGGTGTTACCCAGGTGCCTGCACCACTGCAATGTGGCACATGTGAATGCAGGAGGCAGATCTGTGTGGTGCCCTGCAGCAGCCCCCTGCAGCCCTCCCCACTTCAGGATTGCTCATTTTCCCCCTATGGGTGGCTGCATGCCATCAGCTGCATTGATACATAGGATACATAGGAATATGTGGCTTGCAAAATGCTGACTGCAGTGTGTGTGTGTGTGGGGGGGGGGGGAGAAAAAAAAAAGAGAAGGAAAAAGAAAAAGCAAGAATTAGACTGCACTGAGTGGTGCCCAGAGCAGCATTTCCCATCAGGAACCACCAGCAGGCTCTCGTGGCAGGCAGGACCATTTTTCCAGGGCTTGCTGCTGTCACTCACCGCGCTCATAAAGCAAGCTGCTGGCAGCCAAACAATGGCAGGGAGGAGAGGAAAGGCAGGAATGAAAGGCTGCTTCTGTCTGGAAGCTAGCAACTCCTCGGCGCGTGCCAGGGGAGCAGCTTGGTTTCATTCAGCTGCTAATGGCCGCTCTTGGCACCTCTCCATCACATTCCATCCAAGGATTTGGGGGAGCTGCAGCTCCCCTGTCCCTGCCACCTCCTTCCTTGCATCCTGTGGGACCCAGCCCTGCCTTCTCTGTTTCAGGAACCTCCGAGCCCGCCCCGCCGCCGTTCCCAGGTGAGGTTCTTCTCTCCGAGTCGCTCTTCTCCAGGTTTTGCTGTTGAAAAATGCCTCAGAGAGGCAGCGTGTTGGTTCTGAACAAAGAGCAGCAACAGAAAGCTGAACCTCTTTTACAGAAAGGAAATACAGATTCTTTATTATCCTTATTCTGCTTGTGATCAGGCGAGTGCAACCTCACTGCTCCCTGCTAGCTGCATGTCACTCACCACGTCCAACTGAACGATCCCTTGAGGCTGCTTACACCACGCTGCCAGCAGCTTGGGAAATCATTTCTATGCCACCACTTCAACTATGGCCATATTCACTGGGACATGGTCATAGCGGGGGGGGGGGGGGGAGTAAGGGAGGGGGCAGTCTCTGCTCCCAGGTAACAGCAATAGGATGAGAGGCGATGGTCTTGTGTTGCACCAGGGGAGGCTCTGGTTGGATATGAGGAAATATTTCTTCTCAGAAATAGCATTGCTGCAGTGGCACAGCTGCCCGGGGAGGTGGGGTAGCCCCCAGCCATGGAGGTGCTCCAGAACCATGGAGATGTGGCACTGAGGGCTGTGGTCAGCAGGCTCGGTGGGCTGGGGTTGGATGTGGGGATCTGAGAGGTCTTTTCCAACCTCAGCGATTCTGTCAGTCTATGAGATGATCGCACCTTCTCACCTGCGTTGTCCTATGGATGGCTTATCTCCTATGCCTGATAACGCAGACGACAAGGTGACATTGCACCCAGTACAGTGACACAAAGCTGTGTGGGATGTCCATGTCCACTGCTTCCAACCCATGAGCTGCATCCACCACCTGTCACCAAGGCCACCATCAAGCTGACGTGGTGTTAACTAACACAAGGGCAGAAAGCTTGCCGTAGCCAGGAGTCACCCATTTGGTCCAGAGAGCAGAGATTTGGTGCAGAATGGCCCCAGGCCCTCCGAAGGCTGTGGGTCCATTGGACGCTGGGTGCTGCCCTCCCAGCTGCCCACTGAAGCTCTGCGCTGGGCCGTCCTTGCAGAACTGCGCCTGGCCAACGGGCCCAGCCGGTGCCAGGGCCGCGTGGAGATCCTCTACAACGGCTCGTGGGGCACAGTGTGTGACGATGACTGGGACATCGTAGATGCCAACGTTGTGTGTCGGCAGCTGGGCTGCGGCCATGCCATCGCCCTGCCGGCACCCATGACCTTCGGGCAGGGGAGCGGGCCCATCTTCTTGGACAACGTGGACTGCAAGGGCCAGGAGGCGGCACTGAGCGAGTGCTGGAGCCACGGATGGGGCATCCACAACTGCTACCACTACGAGGACGTGGCTGTGGTCTGCAATGGTAATAAGGCTTGGTTCCCTCAGGGCCAGCATGCGGCTGGCAGAATAGTATTGTTTGTATTAAGTGTATATATAGTCACAGCAGGGACCCTGGTTACAACTCGCTTCTGCAGGCAGAAATTGATGCCATCTCTCATTCCCTTTCTAGAGCTCTCCCCCACATCAGCAAGCGAAGGACCGACCAGCAGGACTGCTACAGCCTCGGTGCAGAATGGGGAAGGTGAGCTGCTCATGGCCTGACCTGGCTGGGAGCTCTGCAAGGGGCGGGCAGAGAGCAGCGCCCACATCCTATCACCCATCACCCACCTCCCATCACCCATCCTCCACCATCGCCCATCATCTCACCCACCATCCCAATGTTTCCCCTCCACCAAACAGCCTTGCTGGGCTGGCCAAGAGAAGACCCCCAGAACCTCCACCTTCATGGTCATATCCTGGTTCAGATATTCCTGCAGGATCCCATAAATTGTGCTGCCCTAAAGCAGATCCTCTTCCAGAAACTTGGGCAGTTTCACCACCGTAAGCACATCCAGATCCCACTTCTGTGGGCCAGTGACCTTGAAGGGACAGCAAGACACTTGTCCCCTATCTGTCACCCTCCAGGTGACGGCCGCATCCGGCTGGTGAGCGGGGCAGACGCCTGCCAGGGCCGCGTGGAGATCTTCTACCAGGGGAGCTGGGGCACAGTGTGCGACGACGACTGGGGGCTGAGCGACGCCAGCGTGGTCTGCAAGCAGGTGGGCTGCGGCCAGGCTCTGGAGTACAAAAGCAACGCCTATTTCGGCTACGGCACGGGGCACATCCTGCTGGACAACGTCAACTGTGAGGGCAGCGAGCCCATCCTCTCCGCCTGCTACAGCCTCGGCTGGGGCATCCACAACTGCGGCCACCACGAGGATGCCGGGGTCATCTGCATGGGTAATGGGGCACGAGAATGGGACGTCCTTGCACAGAAACAGCCTGCCTGGCCGGGACAGGAGGGAGGGAGCGCAGCCAGGGCTGGGCATGCCACTGGGATTGCCTCCTCCCTGCACTGCCCAGCCCTGCCATCACCCACTGATTACCATTTATATTGTTAATAATTCCCTTGAACTCCCTTGTTATGTTGGATAATGAGTGGAGCAAGAAGTTATGGTTCTTTTCTTTTCTGCTATTTGCTAACAAAGCTGCTGATGGAGAGGAAGGGCTAGTTTTCTAAGGATGCTCCTTTCCTCCCCAGACACAGGCTATCCTGTGCTGGGGCTGGGTGGCAGCACTCAGTGCCCATCAGATGGGGCAGGACTCAGGGTGTGCAGCTTTGGGCCTGGTGGTGAGGCTGGCTGCTCACACCCTGCCTCTGCTGCTCAAGCACAGCTGGTGAATATTTGATGTATCCAGCTTCAAAAAAGCACTTGTAACACTTGCATAGAGCTGGAGAACCTCCACCTACAGGATGTGGGCAGTACGAATGGAGGAAGTCCTTTGCAGCATCTGATGCACGGACTCAGATGTGTAGGACCCAAATTGTTTATAACAAGTTCTCACATCACTTACATACCTTCACAAGTTTTCTTTTTCTGGCTTTCCCATCCACCCCTACAACTTTCCCACCCACCTTCACGTGTCAACAGAGCATTCTACAAACACTCTTCAACCATTATCCAGTCAGAGCTGCGAGACGTTCGTTCTTCTAGAGGTGTCCTTGGTTCTCATGCTGTTTGTCTTGCTCCACAGCTGCTGCTCTGAACAGTTTTTCTTCTATTCCCACAGTCCATCATCTGCATCTCCATGTCCATCATCTCCCTCTCCCCCACCATCTCCATCTCCTTCCTCACACCACTCCACTCTGCATCCTGGCATCACAGCTAGAGGGTTATGTGCTTTGCAGCTTCTCCCTGCCTGTTACCCCTGTCCTTCTGCCTCCCTGCAGGTCTGGACACATCCACCATCACATCCTTCACCACCTCCACGGCCCTGGACCATGAAGAAATGCTCACTGCCACAGCCACAGGTATGGTGTTGGCAGCAACCAGTGCCTCAGCAGGGAGGGCTCTGAGGACTGGCAGCTCTCTGGGCTGTCCCTTTCCATGGCCAGCCGCTCACATGGGTCCAGGTGCACCTTGGTGAGGCTCTGGGGCTCTCTTGGGTGATCTTCCCTATGGCAAGTGCCAAGAACCTCTTCCTCACCATCAGGGGATTTTGCCATGGGGCCACCGTGGTGCTGACTGTGGCTCAGAGCAGGGGCAGTGGGTGCTGGGGCCAGACACCGAGCACCCATGTGTCCCCATGTCTCAGCAGTGACAGACGGCCACGAGCAGCCCTCGCCTGCGACCGAGGTGATCACCACTGTGCTCATCACTGCTGAGCTGGAAAGTAAGCATGTGGCTGCCATTAGTCTGGCACAGCCCCCAGCCCAAGGTCCTCCTGTCCCAGCTCCCTCACTGCCCTGGGAACATGACCCCATCTCCCCAGGGGGAGGGCCTGCCCCACAGCCCCTGGGATCACCCCACATGTGTGTCCACTTCTCCCAGGGTCTCCCCCCATCTCCCCATGACTCCTCCCATGATCCCAGAGGTTTCACTACACACTCATAGGGATACCTCCTTCATTCCCATGGCTCCCTGAACGTCCCTAGGAGTCTCCTTTCATCCTCTCAGGGCCCCCCCCATCCTCCCAGGGGCTCTCCCCATCTCTCCATCCTTCCCCCATCTCCCCAGGACCTGCACCCCCTACCTAGAGGTGGTCCTTCCTCATTCCCAGAGCTCCCCCACATGCCCGGAGGGATCTCCCCATCTCCCCACGACTCCCCTCATCCTCGCAGTGCCTTTACCCCATACCCATTGGGCTACCTCCCTCATTTCCGAGGCTCCTCCCACGCCTCCAAAAGGCTCCCCCTACGACGGGATCCCTGCGGGGACCTCCCCGTATCTCCCCATCCTTCCCCCACGCTCTCAGGGCGCTCCTCCCATCCTCCCAGCGCCTCCACCCGGCGCTCCCCCCTCCATCCCCGAGCCTCTCCCCACCCTCCCAGGGACTCCCCCAGCCGCTCCCCACCCTTTTTCCACCCTTCCCCTCGCCTCCTCCCCTTCCCTTCCCCCCCCTCCCGTTTCCCGCAGTGGCTGTGCGGGCGCCCACCCGCAGGTGGCGGCGTGCGGCTGGCGAACGGCAACGGGAGCTGCCGCGGTCGGGTGGAGGTGCGGCACGGCGGGACGTGGGGCACGGTGTGCGACGACGACTGGGACTTCCCCGACGCGCAGGTGGTGTGCCGGCAGCTGGGCTGCGGGCCCGCCGTCTCCGCCACCGTCCTGGGTTCCTTCGGGTACGGCAGCGGGCCCGTGCTGCTGGATAACGTGGGGTGCGACGGGCACGAGATGCGCCTGGCCGACTGCTTCCACCTGGGCTGGGGGCAACACAACTGCGGCCATCACGAGGACGCGGGCGTGGTGTGCCGAGGTGCGTGGTCTGAGCATCGCCCCTCCTGTCCGTCTCGCTGGGCGGGGGTGGGATGTAGGACTGGAGTGCGGTCCCAGGAGGATGGATGGGGTTGCTGGCCCAGGTTCCGGCATGGGGTCCGTTTTGCAGTGGTTAGGGAAAGGTTCTGCCCCCCAAAGGCAGTGGGCACAGCCTGGAGCTCAGGGACCTGGGCCACTCCCCAGGACCTGACCCCCTACCTAGAGGTGGTCCTTCCTCATTCCCAGGGCTCCCTCACAGTGCCCAAGGGGCTCCCCCCATCTCCCCACGACTCCTCTCATCCCCACAGTGGCTTTTCCCCATACCCATTGGGCTACCTCCCTCACACACATAGGACCTGGGGGGGTCCTGTGTAGAGCCATGAGCTGGACTCAGTGATCTCAGGTTGGATATTAGGAAGAATTCCATCTCCAAAGAGTGGTGCTGAATTGGCACTGCTGCCCGGGGCGGTGGTGGGGTCACCATCCCTTGAGGTGTTCTATGGAGATGTGGCATGGTGGGGTGGGCTGGGGTTGGACTTGGGGATCTTGGAGGTCTCTTCCAGCCTCAGTGGCTCTGCAGTTGTATGATTCTGTGAACCCTGTGGGTCCCTTCCACCTTGGGATGTTCTGTGACTCGGACTCAGGGAGGACAGCAGCACTGCAGTGCTGTGGCTGGGTGAAGAAGACATGGGTGCTGCTTCTTCTTCCCTTGCCAGCCCCATGCCACGTGCACAGGGACTATTGGCTGGTCCTGGGGAGCACAGGATGTCCCAAAATCATCTTCCTCCCACCTTTCCCTGCCTCATCAGGTGCTGATGACTCAGGAGTCCACTTCGAAGAAGCCACCGCTGCCACCACCACGTCAGCCCTGACCCATCTGGAGGATGGTGAGCATCCTATGGGCGCTGGCACAGAGGTGGTTTGGATGCAGCTGGGAGAAGCGAGGCACTCCCTGGCCCAGCCTGGCTGGGGTGAGCCCGTTCTCCTCCACCCCATCCCAATGTCCCACCACAGGGTTCTTGCGCCTGGTGAACGGCAGCCATCGGTGCGAGGGCCGCGTGGAGATGTTCTACCTGTCCCAGTGGGGCACGGTGTGTGACGACGCCTGGGACCTGCGGGATGCCAAGGTGGTGTGCAGGCAGCTGGGCTGTGGGCACGCTGTGGCAGCGTGGGGGGAAGCACGCTACGGCCCCGGCTCCGGTTACATCTTCCTCGACAACCTCAAGTGCAAGGGCAGCGAGCCCTCACTGCTGCGCTGCTCCCACATCCGCTGGGACGTCCACAACTGTGACCACTCGGAGGATGCCAGCGTGGTCTGCAGCCTCCTATGACCACCCACCCGCAGGGACCATCCTGGGTATGAGGATGGGGGGGAGGGACGGGGGGCACACGGAGAGGGGGGGTGGGAAGTGGGGCAGGAGGGATGTGGGACTCGGAATGTGTCAGGAGAACAGTCAAGGTTTAAATCAGACGGACGGAGCCACTGACAAGCACGCTCAGATGAGCTGTTACGTGTGCTTCTTGCTTGGAAGCGTGCCCCTCCATCCTGTGAATCTGCTGGCTGACTTCACCCAAATTAGGCAACAGGGAAGAGGTCACCGAGCTGAGGCCATTAGTTCCTATAAAATAGGCAGAAGGGGGAGGGAGAAGCTCCTACAGGAGGAAACCTAATGAACCCAGCACCATACGAGGTACCAGAGAATCCACACCCTGTGCACTGCTGGGCACAGCCCTTGGGAGCACTGCTTGTGCTGCAGTGCAACCCAGAGTGACACAGCTGGGCCCAGGCAGCAGTAGTGACTCCCCCTCCCCCAGAGCTGCCCCAGGCATTGGGGCCAGGCGTCCTTTGGCTCCCAAAACCCTGCTGAAGCTTTTCCTCCACAACGCCTGTTGGAGAGAAAAACGAAGTGGCCTTTTTTGTTTGTTTGTTTGTGTGTGTGTGTGAAATCCAGTTGGTTTCAGCCATTTCATTGAAGAGACGAGGGGAGAAAAATGGATTTTCTGCTGCGAAATTGACTTTAGATTTTACCTGGGAAATGTAAAACAGGGCTGAAACCAAACCAGAACATTCCAGCTGCTCTGCGGTGTGTTGCTGCCCTCCTACAATTTGCTTTGCAAAACCCCCTTAATCCAAGTATGAGCAATGAGGAATAAATACGGGGTTTCCATCCCCGCTGCTTGCAGCCCAGTCCTGCAGTTCCCATTAATTCCCAACATGCCCACGTTGTTTCCTCTGCTCCTGCTTCTCCTGCAAGCGCAGCCACAGAAAGTTGGGAAGCAGGGCAAGATGGGGCCCTTGCAGCCCCATATCCCCACCACCCACACCCTGCACCCAGCAGCTCTTTGCAGCAAAGCTTCTTTGTCCCTGCAGAGCCCATGGAAGTGCATGCATGGCTCCTCTGCAGCGTGAGGTGCTGTGTTCTGCAACGGGCTGCTCTGTTCTGCAACGTTCTGTGATGGAGCGCTGTTTCCACCTGAGCAGGAGAACCAGCCCTTCAGGTCTGCTCGAGGGGTGCATTGGCCAGGTGGGGTTTGCTTCACACCGAGGGTCCCAGGGTCTCCCTCCTCCCGTTTCTATGTTTGTACAATTCTTTTGTTAATAATAGGTTTCTTACATGTTTTGTGAATAAATAAATCCCCTTTTCAAGCGCGTGTCTCTGCATCCCTCCCTGTAGGGCTCAGTGAGAGCAAATCCATGCCCGGAGCAGTGCTGATTTACACCCTGCTCAGATCCTTCTGGCCGTAGGGAACAGGGTTGACTCTGGCTCTGCTCCCGGCTCTTTGGCAGCCCTGCAGGCTGCGGGTTTGCTGCTGGAGTGGGCGGATTGCTGGTGTGCAGCTGCAGTGCTGACAGCCATAAATTCAGCAGCGCCGCTCACTGAGGGCGGGGGAGCAGAAGGGACCCTTCTGCAGGGGGTGGAGGTGGGCAGGGAGGCTGCATCCCCAGTCCAGAAGTGTTTTCTGCATCGGAGTCCCTATGACAGGTTAACTGCAGCAATGTGCCCTGCTGCAGAGCACGCTGCTCTCGGTGCATTGGGAAACTGAGGCACGGAAGCTTTCCCCCAGCAGCACGATGGGATGCAAAGTCTGGATGCCGGATCCCCTCCCTTCTGTCTCCATCCCCATGCAGGACAGCTGGGTGACAGCAGGAGGGATGCAGCCACACCAGCTGGAGGATGGCCATAGGGTTTGCCCCCCAGCAGCATCTACAGGACAGAGGGCTCCTTCCTTCCTTCCTGCTGCATCAGCTGCTTTCCCCCCACCCGCAGCAGCTGTGGCTCCGCATGGGTCGATGCCATCGATCGGTTCCTCCTTCCATCCCCAGAGAGGGGACAGCACAGAGGCTGGTGGGGGAAGAGAATGAATATTTCACGAGGCCCCGGCAAAAAGCTGGGTTATTTTGGGGCTTGGATTTATGGCCTATTAGGAATAAGGAATGAGTCTGCGCTGGGGAGAGGAGACCCATTAATCCAGGCTGAAGGAGCACAAATGAGCAAAGGGAAATGGAAGAGGCTTTAATGATTTTGTCGCGTTCCAGAATAATTCCTCGCTGGGAATGGGGGCACCTCGAGAGCTGCATGAGGCTGGGAGCCCCCTGGGGTGGGAATGGGGACGCAGGGCATGGAATGGGGACCCGGGGCAGGGATGGGGACCCGGGGCAGGGATGCTGAGTGGGGCTGCTATTGGGATCACTGCTCAGGGTGGTGCCGGGAGGGACGGAGGTCCGATTGGGGACCAGCACAAGACCACTCTGGATGCTGTATGAAGCGGAGGATGCATTGCACCAGGGTGCTCCCATGCCCCCCTAAGGCAATCCGTGCACCTGTAACCAGAGGAGCTTGGATGAGTCACAGTGGGACCCAGCGAGCATCCCTGTGCCCACACCTCCCGGGTCACCTTGGGCTGCTCTCCATGCCCCTCTCACACCGCCTGCCTGTTTCCCCAGCAGTGGCTGTAGCACGGCACCGCACTGCTCATGTGGGGTGGGTGCGGGATGCAGGCATCACCGTGATCCTTGCCGGGCCCCCCGCCCGTGCCGTCCTCCTTCCCCACGTCTCACAGTGACGTCAGCCCGGCGCAGCCAGCTGCTATTTTGGGAACTGCAAAGTCACTGGTGCAATTAGCACGCTGCCGAAGGCAGAGCGGCCAAGGGGGGGCTGCGGGGCGGCTGCACCCCCTGCGTTTGGTGGGGGGCTGCGCGAGGTCGGTGCTGCTCCCCCTCCCCGCCACCTCAAGGACTCCCTCCCACGTTTGCAGATCTCATCCATCATCCCTTCTCTTGCAGTTGTTTTATGTTTTCTCTCCCCATGGCAGAGCAGTCCCACGTGGGCTGCCGAGCGCCAGCAAAATCCGGCTCGCAGCCGTCCTACAGCCCACACCATCACCGCCTTCCCTTGGGGAGAGGTGCGGCAGCAATCTTCCCAGCCCCACGTTCCCCTCCTGACCCCACGCAGGGGCCCCTATTTTGGCTCAGCTTTGGGGCCGGCCGCATGCCCCGCTCCTCCTGCGCAGGATCAGCCCCTCCGAGCCGCTGTCCTTGTCCCCAGCGGGCTGTCCCCTTTTGTCACCTTCACCAGGGACACCCGCCAGGCTCTCCCTGCGGGTGACAGCTGCTGTCAGGGTCAGGCCGGGCACTCTTCTCGCTGCATTGTGCTTTGTTCCCGGGCTGGGGACGTGCCACGTGCGGCTGTCACGGCCCGCTGCACAGCTCCTGCCCTGCAATGAGGCTCTGTGCATGGGGACATGGGGACAAGGGGACAGACTCAGCCCCTTTCCTGGGGGTTGGCTGCTTTTTTATAGCCCCCCTCCCCCCCATGCAGGGTCACAGAAAGAGGGGAAACACATTGTGCCCACCAGACACCAAAACGGGCAACCAACCCCAGGATGCTTTAAAAATCCCCTGATTTTCCCATGTGCTCCCAGCATCATTCACTCCCATCCTCCCCGGTGGATTAAAAAAAAAAAAGTAAAAAATCCTTTCTCCTAAAGCCTGCAAGAGGCTGAGAGCTGCAGCAAGAAGAGCAGTGCAGCTCTTGGGGAGGGGGTTTGTGGGGCAGGGGCTGGCCTGGGTGTAGGGCAGGCGATGGGGAGGGTACCACCAAAATGGGGTGTTTTCGTGCCCCCAGTGAGGGGCGCAGGGCCGGGGGGGCCGAGTGCAGGGCGAGGCTGTGCTGAGTCACGCTGCAGAGACGCACAGCCAGACTGCAGCAAGCAGCTCGCCTGCAGCCTCTGATGGGGACGGATGTGACAGCCCCGTCCTTTCCCAGCCCACAGCATGGAGGGGCCGGGGGGGGACGACGAGGATGGGGCTCTGCCTATGGAGTGATGCTGTGAAAGTGATTGGGCCCCAACACCCCGGGTCCTGTCCGTCTCTGTGCTGTTCTCACCCTGGCCTTGTCCCCCAATAGAGATGAGGCAGCTCTGGGACCCCCGCAGGACCTTCCACACCCCTCTGCATGGGGACATCTGCAGTGCTGCAGGAGAGGTGTCCCCAGGTGTGTGTGAGCAGGGGGATGGCGGGGCTCTGGGGACACAGTGCCAGAACAGACTGCAGCCCTGCATGGGGTGATGGTAAGCCTCCTGGCAGGACAAAAGCAGGTCTGCATGACAAAGGGAACCTGAGGCCCAGGTGGGTGCTGGGGGGATCGTCTCCTTGTACTGTCACCTCTCAGGCAGTGCCCTGGGGGCTGAAGGACCTGGTGTTCATCCTGCCTGGTGCTGCCCACCGGCCCTGCGGAGCTCGGGGTGCTTCTGGAGGGACTGAGACAGGCAGGGCTTTTTTTAGGTGCTCCATAAGCGCTGTCTGGGCAGTATTTATATCGGCTCCTTAAATAAGAGCTGACATCCGAGCCCCGTGTGCCTGCTTAATTATTAACGCCCTGTGGGGAGCTGGTGTGCCAGCTGGGTCCCTGCACCCCCGCAGGGTCTGGGGCTGCTCCTACACCCTGTGCCCCCTTGGGTCCCCATCATCCTCCACCTCCATGCTCCATCCACCCTCCACCTCCATCGTCCACCTCCATTTTCCATCCTCCTGCTCCATCCTCCCTCTCTGTCCTCACCTCCATCTGTACCTCCATCCTCCATCTACCTCCATCCCAGGCACCCCACCTCTTCCCCATCCCTCTGATCCCATGCTCTGTCTCCCTCCTGCCTTTCTGCCTCCACCGGGCATCGCACAACCACCGCAGGCCCTGACCCAGCTGCTCGTATCCAGCCTCAATTCACAAATGCCACCACCCCTATGACCCTGCATTCAGCAGGGCTGAGCTCAAGATAACTTTTTGGTGCAGCCTGAAGTGAGAATCCGAGTCGGAGAGGATTTACTGCTTTCCCTCACAGTGTCAGAAGGCA